GCAGCATGCAATTGGCTGATAATTTTTTCTCTTCTACAGTAGCTAGTAGGTAAGTTGCTCTACTTAACATTCACCAAGCCTGATATATCATATGCAGTCCATGTTTTGTCACAATACATGGACAAACTTAGGCACACACACTTAGCAACAACCTATAAAATTCTGAAATACATAAAAGGAGCTCCAAGTCAAGGCATCATATTTCATTTACAATCAGATATGCATTTAAAGGCCTATGTTGACAATGATTGGGCAAGATGTCCCAATAATAGAAATTTTGTTACTAGTTGCAGCATATTTCTTAATCCTTGATCAATTGGAAATCTAAGAAGCAGATAGTGGTTGCAAAAAGTTCAACAAAGGCAGAATACAGAGCAATGACATCCATTTTTTGTGAGGTAATGTGGTTACTATACTTATTGAATGATTTTGGGGTTAAAAATAAAAAAGGGTGTTGAGTTTTTCTGTGATAACCAATTTGCCCTTCACATTTGCAAAAAGCCCACCTTCCATGAAAGAACAAAGCACATAGATTTGGATTGTCACTTTATTAGAGAGAAGGTATTAAATGGAATTATTATGCCGAGGTACATTAAAACTAATATGCAAATTACTGATATGTTTACTAAAGCTTTACAGTCGAGACAATTCCATTTTCTATTGGGCAAGATGAGTGTTTTGAATATACACACTCATGTTGTGGGGGAGTATCAAGAAATTGATGGAAGGAAAAAGAATATTATTCACTTAACAAAGGAACTGGAGGATGATGGTGTAAAGAAGAATCCAGAAGAAGAGAAGATATAAAATAGTCATGTGATAGGCATATGAGCACTTAGATGAAACAAATACTATACATATTATTTTTCCCTTTCATCATAAGGTTTTTAGAGTTCTTTTGTTCTTATTGTAAATAGCAGTAGCACAAATTTGTTTCTCACTCCACTTACATTTTGTCTTTCACTCTCTGTACGTAAACCCATAATGGTGGAGAAATGAATTAATGAGTAATTTTCATTTCCTCAATCCACTTTCAAACACATAATAATTTCAACACAAGAAAAAGAGGTCAATACAATTTTATTATTAATAAGAATCTATAGAAGAGATTAGAGTTAACCTCGTTAATGACGTCCATAATCCAGATTAATTTTCGACTACAAAATTTGGGTCCCATGGAACCCATGAAGATCCAATTAAACTGGATCTTGGGTGAATTCTTCTCCGGGAAAAGCCCTAACTATGTCTTTAAACAGTACGAAAGTAGTAAGACGTAAAGACTATCAAGCAAAAACAGAAGGAAAAAAAAAAAGAAAAAGAAAAAAGAAGGCCTTTAATCAAAGAGGACCTGACTCTATAAGCTTTTGCATTGAAAATATTACTGATATTACTAGAAACAGAAAGGATGATTCGCTCTCTTAATTCCAGCCGCATTTCCTCGCACAATTCTCCAAACATCTATAATAAATTAGTCATTCCACATTGAGAAAACTCCGGCATTTGAGCCCTGAACTGAGTCCCCAGACCAGCCGCCATAGCCCCCAGAAGGCATGTCATAATCAACCTTGACCAGGGCTAGTTCTTCTGTTGATCCCACTGCATTTCCTGCTGTTGAGTTGGAAGCCATGCCTATTCCGTTCCCCAGATATCCTGCACTATAACTCCCATTTGAGCTTCCATTATTATCCACAACCGATGATGAACAGCACATGCCCATCAATCCATGAAACAAAGCCGGATTGTTTTGGATATGATTGTTGTAAAATTGAGAATTCTGGCTCGGCTGGTGCAAGTAAGACCCGGATTGCTGGTGCAGTTGCAGCTGAGTTTGAATATAATTCTGGTGAAAGGATGAGGTGTCTTGAGCGTACGGAGACATGTCCTGGTTTTGTAAAGTTAACAATGGTTGAGGTTGCTCAAATGGGGTCTGCATTAGAGGGTAAGCCTGTAACCTGCTTGAGCTAGAGCTTCCATATTGGAAACTTGAACCCAGAGCTATCATTTCTTCACGTTTCCTTGATGATTCAAGCGTTTGAGCTTCCTTTAGCCTTTTAGCAGCTCCTCCTCCAATTGGCAATGTATTGCTCTCAAGTATGGCTTTTACATCATAGCGACTCATGTCAAAGTTGGTGACTGCATTAAGTCCTCTGAACTTAATTGCTGCAATATCATAAGCTTCAGCAGCTTCCTCCTCAGTACCTGCATCGATAACAAACGAAGGACTTCTAATCTTATGATTTAGCGATGAAAACCAATATTAAAGTAGTTAAATTATTAGAAAAATTGGAAGTTTCATTGAAAGGTACGTCCTTCAAACCATTCTCTATAATTCTGATAATGTTTGAGTCAGTGTTGACTGCGATTAAACGACTTACTGAAAGTTCCTAGGTAAAGATCTTTGTTTCCAGCAACTCTTCCGATTCTCGCTTGCCATCTGCCGTGCTGATGATGTCTGTATAAAGATGCATGTATGTTAGAGAGGGCCGGGAGAGCTGCAATTTGTTCATTTTGTTAGTCTACGTACCTTGTTACTCCACGGTACATGGATGCACCCCTTGAGAAACCACTGCTCTTCCTGACAACATTAGACACGAACAAAATCAAAATTTGAATGCTCAGAAAGCCAACAAATTTCACATTGCTATTTCCAGAGCCTGAAACTTCATATATAATAGACTAAGAGTTTGCTTTTATTTGAAATAAAATCTCTTATATGTGTACCTTCTAATGGCGGCCACAAATTCTTGTCTAGTCATGTGCTTCATTTCTTCCAGCTCCTTCTCATAATTACTAATCTACAAAAACATAAAAATATATATAAATAAAAATTAAAAACCTATACTGAAACTGGTGCCAACTGAGATACTACTATTATCTCTTAGTTGCACCCACTGATGCAGCAGTAGAAACCTTATATACCGGGAAATTAGTAGTGGTTGATGTTCCCCAGTACTTCAGTGCAGCAAGATCATAAGCCCTAGCTGCTTTCTCTTCTTTGTCATACCCACCTGCTCGACAAGGGGGTTAAAACACTTTTGCAACCCAAATTTTAAAATGATGAAAGAAGGAAAAAGGATGGAGCAAAAGAATATATATATATATATATATATATTGGGAAAACTGACTCACCCAGGTAGACTGGAATTATGATGCAAACCATAGAAACCATGAAAACAATAGGGAAGAAAGGTTAGTGATCATTATAAATCAGGACATGTAGCTTAAGATGTAAAGGAAAAGGAAACCCTAGAAGAAGTTCAAGCTGTACCTTGTCTTCCTTTCCTCGATTGCCCTTCCCGTCTACAACTATTATCCCAAAGGTGAGCTTCATACCTTCCGGTCCATCTATGCCTGCAAAGTTAACCAATTAATACACCGATATTTGTCAACACAAACTTACAAAACCAAAGAGAAAAACAATTTGGATTTGGTTGATTGATTCATCCGTGCTCACCTTGTCACGCCACGATATATGGATGTTCTTTGCCCAAAAGTGTCCAAGGTTCTTCTAGGGGGAGCCTCAACGGTATTAGTACTATTTTCGCCGCTGGTTTCACAGGTTGAACCCTTGCCACTACCCATAGATAATGTCAGTGACTGCAAATTGTTAGCATTTTCTTGGAACTCATAGTTGTTGTTGGCAGCTACAACAGCGTTTTGCACCGGCACAATACTGTTGCTTTGAAATGAATAGTCAGAATCATTTGCCTGATGAATTTCATTGAATGCCACTAGATCCAACGAGGGACTTTCGGATTTCGAAACTCCAAGGAAATCTGCTACCTTCGGAATCTCACTGGTATCATGGGTGTTTATCAGGTTCCATTCTGTAAATTTACAAACTAAACAGATGAGACTGACAAAGATTGAGAGAGAAAAGATAGAGAGAATATAATCTGTACCTTGCGCTTGGAATGGATTCTCCATATTATCATTCACCAGCCCTAGATTGAACTGGTGAGATTGAGAAGAGTGCAAATGTGTTGGCAAGGAAGAATTAGTGGGAGAAAGAGGAAAAGAAAGCCAGTTGTTTGAATTCATGGAACCCATATTATTATCCTCCTGAGGTAATTAATAATCCGAAGCCTGTCCTTTGCAGCAGTCCAACAAATCAAAAATTTCCTGCAAGTAACAAAAGGCAAGGTGAAGTGATCAAGAACAGAAATGATGATAAAAGTAAACTTTTGGCTCAAAAGCAGATAGAAACAAATATCCATAGAAACCAAAGATGATGATGAGGTAGAAAATTAAAGGTTTACCAAAGTGACTAGGGTTTACACTTAGCAGCTGTGTGCTCTCTCTCTCTCTCACTCTTCCTCTCTCTTTGTTTCTTTAAGCTTTTATGGTGGCGGGAGAATGCATTTTAGAAGAAAACATGAGAGTAGAGGAAGGAGGACTCAGGAGAGGCTGAAAGAGAAAAATCTTGAGGAAGATACAAGGTACTTAAATTGCTTCAAATTTCAAAAGAGTTTATTTTTTTTTTCTTAGAGACCCCTTTTGCAAAGGTCATTTGAAGTGGTGTGATTGTGAGAACAACAGTTTCCAACACTTGAAAACCAAGTCTGATAATTGTATAATAGTAATTTAGGGACACGAGTGTTTTAGTGATTAAACTAATATAAATTAAGTGGGAAGGGGGCGGTTGAGGTCTTCCAGTCTTTGTACCAAGACAAACCCACAATTCCCACTGGAAAAATCCAATCCCCACCTCCCTTACCCTCAACACTCTCTTGTTTAAAAATTCTAATGCTATTTCTCTTTCTATCCCCACTTGGTTTATTGGAATTCTCGTCCTCGTTCTAAGCAATTCATGACTCCCCAAAGCCCAGCATTCCCACACTCTGCAAATCATCTCCTAGTCTAACAATTGACCACTCCACGTAAAGCTATCCTCTCTCTCTCTCTCTCTTCTTTGATATCTAATGCTAGTAAAAGAGAAATCAAGCAAAGAAGAGAGATCAAACTCATAAATCAGAAGAGATCTATGAAATGGGGCTGGGTTTCCTTTAATTTCCTCATCACCGAAAGTCCAAAATTTTTGTAGATCCCCGAGTTCCCCTGCATGTGTTGAAGATGTGTGTGTACGGACATGCAATATTTAATGCCAAAAATCCGACATATTAAATATTAAAAGTACTGGAAAGATGTTGAGTAAGGATTACTCGATCTTGTTCCAATATATACTAGTATATATATAACACCAAGTGATAATTGTAGTTGTTTTTATTTTTAAAAAAAATTAATTAATTAATTAAGGGAATTATAAAGAAAGATTTAATTGAAGGATTTTGTTTGGTTCCCCAAGTAGAAATCTGTTGACCACCTAATTGGTTTTCGCACCCCGTCAAAAGGTTAACATGGGGTTAAAAAAAGTTTGCCATTTATGTCCTATACAAATTAAAAGCCTACAACGGAGTTTTCTTTTTTCTTTTTTAAATTTGTATGTCTGTCATCCAATTAGGCCAACCCTAAAGTATGTGAATTTTGTTTTATATATTCAATAAAAAAAATCAGACATTTTAATTAATCATCTATTTTTCTATATATACTATACATAATTTAATAAGCCTTAAAAAATGTGACAAAACAACTTTCAACTATTCAATATATGGTTCTTTTGGACTAAAAAAAATATTTAAGGTATGCTTAAAATGACATTTTTCATGTTTTTTTAAAGTAAAATGATATTTCATGTTACATATACATAAACATTCATGCTCGTACTCCCTAAGAGACATAATTAGACAGATGCAAACAACAGAAGTGTAAAGCTCAGTAAAGGGCTTGAAAAGAATATTATAATTTTTTAAATTCTTTTATAGAAGGCTTATCCAATATTTTATGCCTACATAAGCCTAGTGTCAGTTGATTCAGCAACTGGTCAGTGAATCTATGCCTTAGCATTTGGAAACTGAAGTATTCAGAGTGTTTCAGAGGTAAGACACTTCTCAACTCATGCAGTACTGCTGAAATAAGAACTAGCACTGAGAAATTAAGAATAAACAATAGTAAAACATTGAGAAATAATAGTATTAAAATCCTGTAAGTATACTAGGAAAGAAATAAGAATCACCTGCCATTGTTGATAACACAGTTCCCGCCAAATTCTTGGACATATTTATAAGCTTACGTTGACCGAAATGCACCACAATAAGGGAGCAGGACCCACGTCTCTCGCTTTCTTCTACCTTTTCACCTCAAAAATATTGCTGCTACTCACCAAAAACCCTAAGTCCAAATTAATCAATGCCTACAAAAGAGTAGAGAAAATTAGGAAGGAAACTATTATGTGATCCCAAAAGAGAAAACAAAAATATTAAACCCTTTGTCATGGTCTTGATGGAAAAGAGTAACACGTAAACTTCATGCTTTAGAGATAAACAACATAGGGAAGAACTAGTAGAAGAACACTGAATTAACCTCCTTGTTGTGAAGAGTAATGGGATTGGAGCAAAGAAACAAAGAGCCTCAGTCTCTCTCTTAATTTCTCTGTAATTTATCTCTTTAATTACTATTTCTTGGAAAAAGAAGAGAGAGAGGGGGGATGGGATCAGCCACCGGCCATTTCTGGTAAATGAATTAAATGAAGAGAGAGTGGCGTCGTTTCAGATATTGCGGCCAAATTCAGAGGAATGTGACCTACATATGTCAGTTTCCATTTAATATTTTTCTCTAAAGTCTTAATTCCTTCGGCTTCAAATCAAAGGTGCAGTCAGGCGGACCAATTATTCGTTTTGCATGCTTGCACAAAAAAACACACTTCACACACCAAACTTTGACCAGCCTATGACCGTTCTATATATACTTCTCCCAACCTTTTTTATAACAAAAAACGGAGGCCAGAATTTTTTTTTTCTCTCTTTTTCTTCTTGTCTAGGTGATATGAATTAAAATTTACAGGCAACCATAATTTAACACATTTGTATCGTGATTATATTAGGATTTGAACTCAAAATCTTCATATACCAATGATTTTAATAAAGAAATGGAGGGCAAAATAAAGTTAGTAAAACATAAGGGGGAAAAAGCATATAATATATAATGATTTCAACCAATTTCTGCAGTCCTTGAATTGAATTCATGAAGTACCCATGATATAGCAAATTGATAGAAATGAGCAAAATGTTCTGGCCATTAAGAAATAAAAAGAATAAATAAATAGGGGTGCTTTTGGGGGCCGGGTTAAAAGATAGTGGTTGCAAGGCCTCTGTTAGCTAGACTTGCAGAAGCCTGCCATCCTAGAGGTCGAGGCGTCACTAGTCGAACTAATTATTATAAAGCTCACAGTAAAGTTTCTCATTTCTATCAATTTGCTGTGGCACTTAATTCTTTGGCAAAATAAAAGTTTCTAAGGGAAGGAATAGAAAACATGCATGGTAGTAATTAACATGTTAATATATCAGCATCATAAATATGATTAAGAGGCAATATTATCTCATATTATCCAAGTATTGATAACTAATTAATTAATTAATAAAGATGAGAACTATGTTTTTAGCTTTACATGTGTAATTTGCAATCGCCATGCTAATCTTCGAATACCCTTCGGGACGATTTAATTTTTTTTCAGGTTTGCATTGGCTTTGTTGAAATGTACACGCTATTCGAATAAATTTGCGTTTGTGACCTCCAAAAAACATAACCAGAATCCGCACTTCCATGGATTGCAAGTGTACCGAAATACACCACTGATTCTAGTAATGTTGAATGGCTAGCTAAGGTGAAACTGAAATCTATGCTTGAATTGGTGTGCAAGAACTACAAATCCTTAATCCATATATGCAATGTCGAAAACTTAGGATGGAGGGATGGAGCTGACAGTAAGAAAAAGGGGCATTCAAGTACATATAGTGAAGAAACGAGGGTATTTATGGGCAAAGGAGCTCACGAGAATCCAGAGAAATAATTTTGAGAGTTTCCAAGAGATGGTGGGAGGAATCGCCGGGACAGTGCTCGTGTCTCCTCGAAATGAACCACTTAGAAAGGCAAATGCATTTTGGGAACCCTCCTTTCATTTCTTCTTATTTTATATAAAAGTACTAGTATTATATTATGAATGTCACGTAGGGTTAGGGTTTTTAGTAGGGTTAGGGTTGTTTGTTTTAGAAGAGCATGATGAATATACATGCCCAAGAATAAGCTACAAGAAGAAAACATGACATAAACATGCAACCTTGTTTTGCACTAACTTTAACCCCATTAAGACTTTCAATTTATTAGTATTTTAATTGCAAAAGCCAATTAGTAAAGTGGTGGTAACAAAGTTTAGCCATTTCCATTCCCCCTTTCTTCTCTTTCTGTGTTTATTTTAGATTTTTATTTTGCAGCAGCTTGTAAAGTAGAGATAGACCCAAAACGAAGTGGAGGACTGGATTTAGGGAGGTCTCCACTCCCCTCCCCTTGGTATATAACTGGTTAACAAATGGTTACTTTTATTTTTCATGATTGACTTAATTTGGTGAAGCATCTAAACTAACAAACTTGAAACTTAAATCGATAGGCTGACATACCCAATAAAAAAAAAACAATGAGGAACAAAATAAAATAGTACATGAGCTTTTATATTGTATTAAGCATCCAACTTATAATGTGCCAACAATAGAAGGAAAGTTTTGAGTTGAGTATTAAAATAAAACAAATCCCAATTTTACCAATGTGAGGTAACACCAATTTTTTTAATTTTAATAGTTAAAGAGTCACGTTTGTTGTGATAGCCTTGAGTTCTAGTTAGACTACTATATTTTAATTCTAGTTAGAGTATGATAACTTGTTGAGATTGTTTTTTATTCTAGCTAAACTAGGATATAAAATCCTAATCAAATTAGGATAAATTAAGATAAGACTCTTGTACTTGGTTTTATAAAAAGGTCATATGGGGTTAAAGAATATCATTAAATCAACAAAGAGTTAACGAGCACTTAGATCTTAAAGGAGTGATTTGAGTGTAAGTGGGATAAAGGTTATGAGTTTGGGACTAATCTTGTAATCTCCTAATTTTTCTTAATGAATATTTCTCGATACTTGTGTGCAGACGTAGGTTATCAAAAATG